GCTAGCACTATTCAGAATGCACATTCTCTGGCAACTGCTAACACACTTTAGCTTTGACTTAAGAGCCTTATCAAGTTGATTTATTCAGATCAAGCCCCTCACTGCATGCTAGTGAGCAAGCTAAGCCATTATGCAGGCGGCACATCTAAAGGTCACAGAAGAGGTTGATACTAGGGTTGCCAACCATCCCTTGAAAAACGGAATCGTTACGTATTTAGAAATAGAACTACCTGTCCCATATATAGTGTAAAAGGAATTCACTTTGTCCCGTATCACATTGAGAGTAAAACAATAGTCAGTAAAAAGTTAATGAAAAATGAAGAAAATAGGCACGTTAGATATAAAACTTACAGTAAACTTGTTCCTGGGCCGAGTCCTGCCTGATGACCAATGATCTATGTAACGATCCAGAATACCCTCATCCCATTCCAAGTGTGGCTCACGGAGAAGATAGCGGTAGACAACAGAGCAGTATGAGGGACGAATGGAGTAATTTAAATGCTGACTTAGTGGGAAAAGGAATCCTAGCAGTCCAAAGGAGCAGCAGAGAGGTGGATGGAGGATCTTCAGGCAGCTGACCTTCCCAATATCCAAGCTGCTGTGTCCTTTGTCCTCAGCATCCCATCTTCCACCGGTTTTGTGGAGAGGATTTTCTCCTTAATGAAAAACAAATGGACTGATGTGCTGAACAAATGTTCCACTGAATTGATTAAAGCTGAGCTCATTGTCAGCCTTAGTTATGAACTATCTTGCTCAGTTTTATTCTGCAGCACTCAAAGACAAACAGGTCACTGCTGCAAGAGCTCAGAGGAAATACAAGTGGAAAATGTAGGCTTTTGCCACATTATGTGGCATTGAGCTAATGATTATTTTCTGTTTTACAACTGTAGCCTATAGTCATTGCATTTAAAGCACAAATATGTTTTCAAGTTTGCTGTTGCACCAGAAATGTGCACTATTTATTTATTGTTTTATTTTCATTTTTACAGTTTGAAGATAAGCAGGACAGGCTTATGTTTAAAATAGTTATTTTATTCAGCAAAGTTTGTTAGGTTGTATTAAAGTGAAATGATAGATAATAATTTGTTTTCCAGGTGTTCATGTCACTTACAAATATGCATCTAATTTAATTCAGATTTGAGTCAAATAGTAAAAAAAAAACCTTTTTACACACAAAGGGGGGCAGAAAAAAAATCACCACGCCGGGAGAGGTAAAGGCAATCGGGTCAGCTGGCAAGCACATGAGGAGTCCCTTTTTTTAAGGGAGTTGGCAACCCTAGTTGTTACCCCTAATTTATAAAAATGCATGTTCAGTATACAACATGCAATCAAGCTGGACAGTAAACAATGCATGTACATACCTGTTCCAACTATCTGAGTTCTATATAGCTTTTATGAAAGCCTGTGGGGAAGTTGATGGTTGACATGTTGCTCAGTTCAGTTCTGATTAGAATCTCTGGTTTGCACTGTGCTTCTAAAAATATTCACTTTATGCACAAAACAGATGTATTGGATGATATTTGTTCATACTTACAAAAACATCTGAAAACCTGTTGACATATGTACTTATATAAACCATTTACATAGTTTTCACATTGTTCTTGTGAAATTAATTCAATTTTATGAAATAAATGCAAAAGCGGCCACTTTCAAGAGTAAATCATATAGACCTAATATGTGGTGCCATGTATATAATATAATGTAAGAAAAAAAGCTTTATGTTTTTCCTGTATTTTTCCATATGGAAAACTTATTTTTCTGAATCTCATATTGTTCGTCAGAATGTTTTAACTTCTGGTTTCCTGATAAGAGCAGAATCAATGGGATATCATGGAGAGTTACTATGTTTAGACTTTTCCTTTTGACATTTGTTGTCAAATGTGCAACAAATAAAACGGCTAACCTGAGGAAGAAAAGAAAATGTTTGCTTAAGATTGTGAATAAAAGGCTAGATAGCTTTTTTATTTCCATGCCAGCTTTATCTGATTGGCTCATAGCTTTGCTCTTAGGAAAGTTTTGTCATTAACTTTCCACCACAGACGTTCATCTGTTTGACTGTCACCTGTGGTTGATGAAAGCCGAAGGTTATCTGTGTTAAAACGAGGACAGAGTTTATCTTCTCTACTTTTTTCCACTTCAGTCACTCAAATACAACTATCAGCAGGTAATATTTTGCCTGAAGATTAACTCATTATCACTTTTTTACATTCATATAAAATAAATCCATATAGGGTTCAACCTTGCAAGACAACAGTAACATTTTTAACTATTAAACTCAAAAGTGTGACATTTATTCATATTGCTGTTAAATTCCCTTTAATGAATCTGATGGTTTTAATGGATATTCGTTCATTAATATTGAGAAAGAGAAGCTTTATTTCCTAATTGTTACAGGTTGTTAAGCAGTTTTTATGTAATGAAACCATTTTCGCTGATCTTCAAACTAATTCATCCGCTGATCCTCTGTTATTGAGTCATCAGGAAGCTCTGGGAGCCGGTATCCTCCCTTAAATGTCAGAATGAACCAATCACACGGCACACAGAGAGCAGCGTTCGCGACTTGATTGGCTACAGCAAGAGATTGTTTTTGGTGTTCTTGCTGCTAAGAGGAGGGAGAGAGAGTGATCACACAGCAGGGGTTTCTGATTGGATTAAAATAAGAACAGGAGAAAAAAGGAAAATATTGGAGAATCTGGGGACCTAAAGTAATACTTTGGGTTGGCAAAACAAAACAAAAAAAGAAAAAAAAATAGAAGTTTGTATCATCCAGTATTTTGTTGAGTGCCTGAAGCAAGGGAGGAGTTTTTCTCTTGACTGATAAGAGTTAAGGTTTAATTAAGGAGGCAGAATGAGCTTAAAGGGGCATATTGTAATTAATCTCCTTTCCTAATCCCTGAAAAGAGCAGTGGCTCCCTGGGCTAACTAATCAGTACACTACCATAGTTTTATTCTGTCTTGTTTTGCAGTAGTAAACATGAAACCAACCAAAACAAAAAATTCCACCAGATTTGGGTTTTTCATTTCCCATTTGTCTGTCTGTTTTAAAGGTAAATAGCAGTAAATCCACATGAATGTTTTCTAATTAGATCCATTTGTCCATCATTTAGCCCTTTTCTTACAGATGGCTTAGTTAAAGGGCCCCAGGAGGAAAAAAACTGACATCACTCTGCCCGGCAACAATCAACTCATCTTCAGGGCGTCCCAAACCCAAAATAAATCCAAAGGTGCGTATACTGTAAGAGCATCCCAGTCAGATGCCAGAACCATGATGCTGAGGAGCATCAGAGAAAACTTTACTCTAACCTCCTTCCAACTGACAGATCTCCCACCTCTATTATCAGCTGCTTTTATCCACAATCTGTTTTTATGGTCATTATCCACACCTCAGTCAGAAGGTTTATTGACCATTAAATCCAAAGCTTTAATTTTTGTTTTTCAGCCTATTATCCACCACACTAAACCTGAGCAGTCCCTAGATTATTGCATTGGAATCATTTATCTGTTAATCTCTAGTAAACTAAAATCTGAAACTCCTGTTTTTTTCCCCCAGTAGAGAACCCTGTCATCTTGGACTTAAAAGGAGCTGACCCTCATCCCAGCCTGTCCAGATGAGACTGTCATGACCTTGGCACTGATGACTGGCTTAGTTGTAAATTTAATTCACCTGCCTATCTCTGCCCAGTTTCTCATTACCACTTATCCAATCCACCTGTTCGAACTTCTATCTAAACTGCTTGCTCTCGGTCTTCAGTGCCAGATTATCCTTGAGTCTTTGGTGTGAGAGTATTGTAGCTTTACTGATTGTGTTCTGATTGCCTGATCCTGACCCATTTTGCTGTTGGACCTCTGAGCCTGCCTGTTCCTGTTCTGATCTGTTTGCCTGCCCTTTCTTCGGACTTGGTTACGTGTGGACTGCACCTGGATCTGCCTCCTGACTTTGCTCTCTGGATTATCCTGCCTTTCGTCGTCTGCTTGGATCAGACATCCTGTCAATTCTGTAACTTTCAAGGCTTTGTTGTTTGGCACTCTCTGTGCGGCAACCCCGGCGTCTGGTCAGCTAACCATTTGGTATCAATCTCGTTCTCTGGGCACGGACTGTACTCTAAACCAGGTTAGTGACTTGCGCGTTTATTTCATCCTCCGTCAGGTTATTGTGGTCACTAACCTGTGTTTCCTCTCTCCAGAATTTCCTTAATTTTAATGATCGCCTTTGAGTAATCCCGCTGTCTGTCTTGCCTGAATACTGCGTCCTGTGTTCTGAGTCTTGACAGAGACCCTTTCCATAAACACCACAAACAGGATCATGGACCAATTGTGCTAAAAAAAAAAGGTGATTCTAGGAGCTGGTGTATGATAGGGTGTCCTTATCTAAAGAGACAGATGCTTCTATTGTGATTTGTCAATAGGTGATAGATGAACAAGATAGGTGTTACGCCCTTATAAAAAAAAAAACAAGGTTTACTTTCTTTCTTTGGAAATAGATACAATCCTGCATGATGTGGACCACCTGTATAAAAGCTTATATGTGGCACTTTTTTTTTTTTTTTAATCTTTTTTGTTTTGGTGGTTACAATTAGCTCAGCTTTTTGGTTGGTATTGGGAACCATTTAAATATTTTTACAAATCTTAATAATTCCTCCTGAAATGATCAGTGATATTGAAAATAAAACTCAAAACAAGATCTGATTTTCTTATCTTTACTTTTATTGTATAAACAAAAAAGTACAAAATTCATGTAGAAATCTTACAATTGAAAAAAGCTGAAAATCCACAAAATTATGGCTCCGCTGTTCAGGAACGGCAAGGTATTCAACAACTGACCAAGAATGAGAGAACAGCTTTTGTGAAGTTGGAGTTTTCTGATTTAAAAAGTATTTACTCCGACAAACATGAACCCAAAGTATTTTACAGTGCATACATTAACCCTTTTTATAACCTCAGTACCGCAAGGTCCAAATTACAGCGAAACCTGATTTTTCAGTCATTTTGCAAGTTGTTGAGGGATGTTTCTTTAGTGCCAGATTTCTACTTCATTGTTTTTTTTTTCTTTTTAGCTTTGAGAATCTGAGAACTTTCTGTCTTATCTGCAGCACACATCAAAGCTGGAACACCCCTTTCATTTTGTTCTGAGCTGCACCGTGATCTAAGCTCTTTTTCTTTTTTTCTTTCATGCAACAAATTTAAAAAGATTTATTTCCTCCTTTCAGAGTGTGTGCAACGGCATGTCTTTTATTGTATACAAATTTAGTACAACTTAAGTCTTAGTTAATACAAAAATAAATACATCGTCATTGAAAACAAGGAACAAAAATAAAAAAAAGAGCATCAGGTTTCTTTTTTCAAAATAAATTGCGCTCCTCTAATGAGCAATTAATATTTTCTCTTCAACTTCTTAAATCATCAGAAAATAGAAAAAAAAGGGACGAGAATGAAACGTTTTTTCTGCTGCTCGATGAATACCTTTTTCAAATCCACTGGATTTAAATTCCAACTGTTACCAAGGAACGCTCGGGAATAGAAACGTAAAACCAGAAAAAAAAGTCACAGAACTGCTTTTAATGCGCACTGATTTCATAAGTGAACCCAAATTCATGTTTTAAAAAAAGACTATTTACAGTCGATGGTGGAGCTGTGAACACTGTAAACAACCTGCCAGTCAAAACGGAGGGAGGAAATCCGTCTTCTCCACATTTGAATTGAACGCAAATTGCTTTTTCAATTTTCTGACTGCAAAAATGAAGCACTTTGAGTGAATGTGTGCGCCGCTGATTGTCACCATGTTGGAGGTGAAGCCTCAGGTAGGAAGGCACGTTTAAGTGGTGAAGCAAAGTAGTTCCAGATCAGCGGGACGGCCCGCTCAATCTGCTCTTTGCGCGATAGTAGATTTGCACCCAGAAATTCCCTGCAAATGTAACCTCAGCGTCTCATTTCACAGTTTCAAATAAAAGGGAACGGGGCACGGGTTGCAGAGTAGAAAAAACACAACCCGCACATTAGACGAGGGTCAAATCAGGTCTGTGGGGAAAGAGAGGAGCTCTAATTTGTAGTTAAAGGGGAACGTAAAGATAGCTGATTTCACAGCTAAATGTTCTCAGTCACACAAACCAAAGTTTGACCCACATCTTTAACAAATCCTCACACAGACTCACACCTGCTACACAGAGAACTGACCCCCAAGACAGGACAAAAACAAAAAAATATATATATATATATTTTACAAAATGAACAAAAAGTCCATCCGTCCGTCAGCTGCAGTCTGATCCAGCACACTGACTGACAGAGAGGGTCAGCTTCTAATAGCTGATTCCTTTCTTTCCTCTTACACAGGATGAGATGATCATTATCCCAGCGACGCCTTAGCAACAGTACATCGTGCCCAAAATGTAGAATAAAGGTCCAGAAAGGAGGCCTATGTCAGCCTGTACAGGGCGCTGAACATTTGGGCCATAAAGTTGAAGAGACCTCTGTAGATGTCTCTCCAGTCCTGCCACTGGGGGGCGACGTGCTGCAAGACAGAGGGAGATCAAAATCAGAAATAAACATAACATAAAACCTCATAGGAAAACCATCAGGCTGTGAAACATTCAAGCAACAAAAAAAGACATAATGGCAGTAATATTTCATGCAACCAGAGAACGGTTTGCTGCTGCAACTTTTATCCCGACGCAGCTCTCATGCTTTTGCTGGATTCCTTTTTTTTCTCTGTCCAGATATGATGAAAGTCGAATGTGCTATTTCTACATGACCTGCTTCTGATTCCTAAAAGGCAGCTTACGAACTGTTTCGATCTTTAGCTGGTGGATTGTGGGCAATGAGGTCAGAGCAGATTTCTTTAAAAAAAAAAAACGCACACAGAAAAAATTATTCTTTTCACTGACAGACAGTGAGAGAGGAGCTCTGAGCCCTGCTGAGCTTGTCTGTGTCCTGGTGAAGCAAGAGGCGAGTGCGGCTGACGTCATCTTTGTTTATGTGCACAAGCGGGATAGTGAGGGAGGAGGTGGTGGGGGGAGGAGGTCTAGTGCCACCTCCTCACGCGATCAAGAGCACGGGAGGGAGGGGAGAGAGATAAGGAAATAACAAAGGAGACGAGCAGCAGGAGGGGAAAGTACTGACATGTTCCAATGGATTTCTGACTCATTTCTTTTTTTCCTGCAATAATAAAACTTATTTTTCGCTTTTTTTTAGGGTGAATAAAGTTTGTGAAAATGATGCCAATAAAGGAAAAAAAGGGAAAAGATCTAAAACAAGCATTTTGTAAAGGAAGTTTAGGAGTCAGCAAATTTAAATGTCAATATTACTATAAATAAGTGATAAAAAATACAGACTTAGCAAACAGACGTCATTGATTCCCTCCTACAAATATTGATCTGTCTCCACAGCAGCCAACTAATGTGTTTAGCCACACAGACCCAAACCGGTCTGATAAGATAGATGTTGTGTGCTTGCATGGGAAGAAGAAGAATCAGTGCAGCTGTGGAGCGTTCAAGAGTAGAACACACATTTTACGCTCTCATTCTCAAACCAACCTCAGACCTCAGTACAACTCTTATTTTCTTACCGCTCTGTGGACAATCCTGGCGTTGAATTCGTCTCCGATCACCCTAAGCTGACTGGCCACTCTCAGCACATCCAGCTGCTGGACCGCCTCACCCCCGGGGCGTCGCTGGTGGGGCGGCGAAGCCCGGGATGATATCTCATTCTGGGAAAGCAGGTCAGGCAGAGGACCCGAAGGACTGGAGTTCTGGCGTTCTTCCCTATTGGAATCTGCAGCAGAAAGTAGTGAGATGGAAATTTAAGAGGAGAGCCACTGATTTACACACACTCTCATTAATCATGACTTTCTGTTTCACAACTCTTCCACAAGAGGAAATGTTGATGTAAAATCCTGTATTGGTCTCTTTAAAGAAAAAACCTGAAACCCTGTTTCTGTTCGGTCCATGATTCTCACCCACAGAGAATGTTTTATGGTCAGATAATGGAAAGGAAACAGAATTTGTGAGTGTATTAAGTCCTGTCACATCTTTGAAACCTTTCCTGTTTGGAATAGTGCAGATCCATCTGGATCAAAGGTGTGGAGATCAACGCCTTCATTCTGACCCTCGTCTTGGAGTATTTTGGTCTCCCTTTTTAAGGATGATCCGACAAGTCAGCAGTAAACATTTTAGAGTTAAATAAATTTCCCTGAGTATTTGGTTATAAGTCGTGGCGAAGCGGCTGTTCCATTAGTTGTAGTTCCGAATTCTCCCGAGTGGTGCCCGACTTTACACGAGTGAATAAAGTGAATGTGATTGGTCGATTATCAAGAGGGCGGAAGGTTTGCAAGTAAGTTTGGTTGTGGCGGGTTTGTCAGAAGCATCTTGCTAACCAGTTAGCAACTTAGTGTTAGTGCTAGTAGGTTCCCATTGGGACCAAGTAGCACTAAATTGGTGACTTAGAAACGACTTTGTCAAGGAACGCTATGGACAGAGGAAACATGCAAGAGGAGGAGAGTTTTGTGTCGGAGGTCGTGCATGAGTCTCTTCCATCATACGTTTTTTTATTTAGAGGAGGAAAGCGGGGATGAAGATGTTGTGGAAGAAGACGCCAGGGCGGCAGAAGCTTGGTTTGGTGTAGAAGGCTTCCAGCCGTACATGTTTGAGCCCTTGCCTCGCAACGCTGCCAGTTCTTTTAGCTCTACGCCTGCTGAAGACAGACGTCCATCCCCATGAACACTGGGACGGAACTCAATGGGAAAGTAAATGATTCTTATTTCAACCGTTGCGTATATTAGCTGCGACATATGAATCAAGATGCTATGACCGAAAAAATTTAAATTGACAGATGGCCGTTGATATATGATTGGCCGAATTTAGGTGTTCAGGCTGACGTATAACTAACTGGCCCGCATAAGATAACCAGAAAAATAAAACACAGATTTTAAGACAGGAGTATTTTTTTTAATTATAAATTTTCTAACTTTGGGGACAATATTGTCTGATAAAGAGTACATTTATATACATCTTTAAGCCAGGTGGATTTGAAATTTAAATGTGACTTTAAAAATCCCTGCGACTTTAAAAGCCAAAGCAGTCAGAAAGAAGGTCATGCTGCCAGATTCCCTTCCTGTCTCATCTTAGTAGGGTGCATCACTGTACTGTTGAGGGTTTTTGCGTTTGGTTAATTTACGGTATAACTATTTTATCGTTGCAGTTGCAGTGCTTGTGTATCATTTGCTGATTGCCTGACATGTGAGAACTAAGATTTGGTTAAAAACTGTAGCAGTCTGGGCAATCTGAACATCCCATTTTGTATGTTACAGAGTCAAAGGTGATGAATGGTGATGTTAGAGTGTTGTTTTATATACATATATTATACATACACATATATATAATAGTGTGATGGCTCACTGACTGATCTGAGTTATGTTTATTTCTTCGGAGGTTATTTAGTTCTCACAAATCCACAAACTGTTCTTAAGGAGCCTGGCGGTGACTTATTTTCTTCTTAATGGAATTTGGGGGCATAATCTTTTAATCTTCTTAATAAGTCTGGTAGGTTAACTTCTGTTATTTGTGTGTTTTTGTTTTGTTTGTCTGTTTTCTTATATTTAACAGGTTACTGAACCCTTTTCCTTGCTGCATTTACCTCTTAGAGGAATTCAAGTAGCTTAAAGAGCTTATGTAAGAGGAAATATAATCTGTGTGAAGCTTTAGGAATGACCTCTGTATGAAATAGTCTTGGTTGTTTTGGAAATCTTCCTTGTTTGAATTGTTTGAATAAATCAGTGTCTTCTTCTTTTTCATTTCACATGTGGACCCCAAACATGGAATTTTATTTCTTTTTCTAAGAGTTCATTTTTCCAGTAAGTTTTTCCTCATCTCTGCACCTCCTTCTCTAAAATCCCACAGTTTTTGACAAGAAGACGCTGCACTCTACATTCTGTTTGATCCCCACGTTAATTTTTTCCAAACATCCAACCGTTGCTATATTTTCAGTAAAAAAAGACATGAATCTGCCTCGCCAGGAGGATTACAGACGATCTTTTTAAGGTGCAGGTGGCCAGACGGGATGACAGAGAAGGGGAAAAAGAGAGAGCAGTGGCAAATACCCCAAACAAACAGAAAAACCCTGACTTGTTGCCAAGGTAACTCTGACACATGGAGATGTCCAGCAGTGATTGGAAGAGAGTGGAGGGGGGCTGAGATGTGATAGGATGAAGTAGAGGGAAGGAGGTGGGGATTAGGAGGACTGCTTGACAGCGTGACAAGAGGACATAGAGACCAGTCAGATCAGAGATGCCTCAGCCGTGGGATGGCTTTAGGGTGCGGCTTATTGACAAAAAAAACCCTCAAAATAATACTGATTATAAAAAAGGAAATAGATTTGGTATTAATTGTTAGAAATGTCATGGAAACAATGTTTATAGTTACAAAATAATTTGATTAATCTAACATCAATAAAAATAGACCAGAATATTGACTCAGATTAGACGCAATAAACAGCTTCTTTTTCCAATAACAAGTAAAAAAAAAAAATCCTATTAAAATATTCTACCTTCGTAATGTGATCATTTAAGATGTTTATATCCCACTCTGGTAGGGGTGGTAAATATTTTATTTGATCAGGTATTATTCAGACTGTCATATATTGGTTGGTGTTGCGCCGATGCCATTTTTTGGCCCCGATTCCTGGCTGTGCAGTATCGGCCGATACCGATACCATCTGTTTGAAATTGATGTGTGTATATATGAAGAACTGCATACTACTTGGATGTAATTGCCATCATGGCTTTATCAAGCTGCTGCCTACCTTTGTGAAGCAGGAAAAAGACTAATACAAAGTGAATCCAGTAGAACTTTTTATTGCCTACCAGGAATTGGTGACAATTTAATGTTGCGCCGATGCCATTTTTTGGCCCCGATACCGATACCCGATACCTGGCTGTGCAGTATCGGCCGATACCGATACCATAATAATGTAAAACAATTGCCATCATGGCTTTGTCAAGCTGCTGCCTACCTTTGTGAAGCAGGAAAAAATCTAATACAAAGTGAATCCAGTAGAACTTTTTATTGCCTACCTGGAATGGGTGACAATAGTTGAATAAACTTAGGCTCTCAAAATGGTATCGGTGCCCTATTTGTTGGTACTCGCCGATACCGATACCACCATTTTAGGGCGGTATCGGGGCCCCGTCCGATACTGGTATCGGTATCGGTCCAACACATAGTGACAATAGCTGAATAAACTTTTGGCTCTCAAAATGGTATCGGTGCCCTATTTGTTGGTATTCTCCAATTCTAATAACACCATTTTAGTGCTGGATCGGGGCCCCGCCCAACACCGGTATCGATGCAACAGTAATATTGGTTATGAACAAACACCTTATTGGCTGATGAAATTAAAGAATCGAGCTCAAATCATGGTCAAACAGATAATTCTGCACATACATGGAAAACATTCACTACAACTTCCATTCAAAATATAAGATTTTATTAATAAAAATCATTCAGCTCCAAGTCAAACTTATTTCAGTTAGGGACTCTTAACTAAAAACCAGTGAAATTCAACTTAACTAAACTAATATGTACAAAGAGGAAGGGAAAATATGATTGAAAACCACATTACAGTTTAAGATGGATTTTCTGTCTGAAAACCAAAGCTTATCTTTTGGAATGTGATTAAATGAGCTTTTCACTAATTGAGAGCGACTGGAATGTTTAAAACTAATTCTCGATGTAAATCCATGAGGCAATCATTAAGGTACACCTCTGTGGGAGGGGTCCTGTGGAGCCAGTTAGCTGGGAGGGGTGGCCGAGCAGATAACTGAGGTCTCACAGCTGTTTTATGAGGAAAACTGCAAACTCTCCAGTAAACATGTTAAGATGAAAAGTGGAAATTGGTCCTCAATGTCCAAAACTTTATGATGTTTATGTCCCAACAGTAATATGGACAGTAGAGTTTATGGTGCATAATGTGGGCGTCAGTCAGTGTGTGCAGCCCACTGCTTCATAGAGGAGGGGTCAAACGAAGAGGATACATTTCCCCACCGTTTGAAAAGGGTATGGAGAACTTTAACGATCACTTGGCATCCCTGATCATGACCCTTGACCCCAAAAGCTCCCTATGTGCCACTTAATGTTTGCGATCCAGGGAATTAGCTAAATTCTGAAGACATATTTCCTCTATGGTGTGATGATAAACAGACCCTGGAGTGTTCAAATATTATTACTAATATAAACTTTAATATTACTATTAAAGTTTTACCTCTTCATGTCCCTTTTTCAGACAATTTACATTAATCAATGTCACTTCTTTGGCTGTATATACAGGTGCTGGTCATAAAATTAGAATATCATGAAAAAGTAGATTGATTTCAGTAATTCCATTTAAAAAGTGAAACTTGTATATTATATTCATACATTACATACAAACTCATATATTTCAGATGTTTATTTTGTTTAATTTTGATGATTACAAATGACAACAAATGAAAATCTCAAATTCATCATATCAGAAAATTAGAATATTGTGAAAAGGTTCAAAATTGATGGCCCCTGGTGCCACACTCTAATCAGCTAATTAACTCAAACCACCTGCAAAAGCCTTTAAATGGTCTTTCAGTCTAGTTCTATAGGCTACACAATCATGGGGAAGACTGCTGACTTGACAGTTGTCCAAAAGACGACCATCGACACCTTGCACAAGGAGGGCAAGACACAAAAGGTCATCGCTAAAGAGGCTGGCTGTTCACAGAGCTCAGTGTCCAAGCACATTAATAGAGA